TTGCCGATAAGAGTTATGACCTAACGTTTATTACGTTTACGCTGCTTGATAAGAGTTGTTTCACTCCTCGACTTTTGTTTTCATCATCTTTATCTTCTCTCCCATCTCCATCTCCGTCTTCATCAATATTCTTATCTTACCACGTATGTATGTATATATCAGACAACGTAGAAAATAAAGGTTGGGAAATAACTCTTATCGGCGAAATAGAATAATATTTTACATCTAACCACTTTTTCGTTAAATTTCAGAATTCGGGCAACGTTTTCAATTTGTAAATTCGAGATAACAGTTATTTTTGGCCCTTCTATCCAAAAATTATTTATTAATTTATTTAAAATGCCTTGTAGCAGACGCAATTGTATTTTGGTTTGCAGTTTTTATTTATAGTTTTGGACTTTGATAATCTTGCTGCAGCAAGTGAACTATGATGTGCGCATATATGCATATCGCCACACATTCTTCAAAAGTGACACAACTCGTAATTACACGTTCGTCAGAAAATGCGAAAAACAATTTCGTTGCACATGCTAATCATATGGGCAAGGGAGACTTTAGCTTAGGTTTTTTCAACAAATTATAACAAACATTTGCTCCAACTTTTGCTTAAAGTTAAATAAAAGCTCTGTGTATATATCGCATGCATTTTTCAAAAATCTAATAACTCTAAATTCTCGGCTAGAAAAACGTAAAAAATAATAATAATTTTTTTTTGCAAAAAATTACAACAAAATTTTGCAACTGCTTTTACTGGAAGTTGAAAATACATAAATATCTACATACTATGACTCTCGAACATTTTTACGATATAATGCCAAAAATTACAAATTTTGAGTTAATACATTTTAGAAAAACGTGAGCGATATGTATATAGTATACGTGTATGTTTGGTATATCTCATTTACGCATTTCTATTGATAATATACAAATTTTCGGGATTCTTCGTATTTTACTTTTCGAGAACTTTCGGTATTTTGCCGGGTTTTTCTAAATTCTTTCAGGACTTTCGGGATAATGCGTATTTAATTTTTCGTGACATTTAGATATTTATTTTAACTTTATTTAGTGATGCGAAAATAAGTAAATTCATTTACCTTCTCTTCACTCTAGGTATTTAGAATAGTATCTTAATACTTAATTGTATGAATATATACACTAAAGCATAAATAAAATATTATTGTATGTATGCACGCATATTTAGTATTTTTAAAGGACAATAAATACAATGCTGGCCATCACAGATATTATGCACATACATATATATATACATAGGTACGTTTTTACATATACAAATGTATTCATGCATTCATATAAATTAACATGCTTAAATAGATACGAATGAATGTAAATACTTGCATAGGTGCGAGACAATCTATTAGAAAAGAAACTTGATTTTTGTTTGCTTATGTGGACTTTGAACTTGGGCCGGCAAATATTGTAGCTGATAGAAAGAAGTACGAGTAATAAGTAAACAAGTGTATTTGTAGCAAAACAAGCTTTTATTAAGAGATGTTATTCTTTTTTATTTTCTCCATACTCAAAAATGTAAATGCATATGTTAGTATGTATGTATGTGCGTATATAATGTGTAAATATGTTATCTAATAACATTGTGCGATACTTAAAAATAGTTGGGAAGTTATGTTATTTTTCTTGTAGGTCTTATTATTCTCGAGTAAAACCTGATTCGAAATATAAAGTTTGTCAAACATCACCGACATTTTTTTAACTTATGTGGACTTAAGCTTCTCTCTATTAACCGATGATCAGTTTCTGATCGGTTCTAGAAAGAAAAAAATAATACTTTTCTTATGGTGTATGCGCAAATTTATAAAACATAAGAGATCTATGTGTATCCGTCCAGCAAATGCAATTTTGGTTCACTTTATTCGGCGTTTTTCAACTTTGGCGACGTTTTAACGTACTATTTAAATAGCAACCATACTAGCCCTGAAATGGTTCAAGGAAACCGTTTAATAACGAGTAACGCGATTGTTTTTCTTTCAAAAATCGGTTAAAAATTTACTAAGTTATTAAACTGTTTAAACAAGATCTTTCGAGATCAGCAAAGTTTTTAATGAAAACGAAAGTGAATAACTACATACATATGTATAGTGCCGGACAAAAGTATTTGCACAGAGAATTTTTCTCAATATTTGTAAAGCTTTTTATTCGAATTTATTTTCAATATTTTTTAATAAAAATATAATTCGTACTTCACTGAAAAACATAAAAACAAAATCACTAAACTTTGTGCAAAGCTCTATTCAGATTAAAAAATAATAATTCTAAGTATGCAGTTTCTTATCCCATTCAATTTTAGTATAACAGATTAGAGCTTATAGAATATTTTAACTTTTGACAGAAGAATTCAGAAAAATGCGCTGAATAATATGTACATTAGGGCGGGTTGATTTGTATGGATGAAAAAAAAATTAAAAATCGTATAGCAAAAACGTTATCTACATTAAATTCTAAGAAAATTCTCTGAAGAAATCATGGGTCTAAGATCAAACCCTAATCCGCGCCTCTCGACTTGAAATTTTTTTTCCTCTTCTTTCGCTAAAATTATTTTCTTTTTTTGAAATATATTCATGTTTTATTATATTATAGTTTATGCAATACAGATTTTGTTTTGAGACTAATCAAAATATTCAATTATCAAAAAAGCATCTCCTCTGATTTGCGTCCTTGGGTGAATATTTTTTTGATGAAAAAAAATTTTGAGTGTAGAAAAAATATAAAGTGCAAAATAACTACCTTACTAAACAATTTTATTCAGAAAATTCGATTTTTTTTTGGAAAAACCTATTTTTCTAACATTTATTTTTTTGGCAAAGACGGCCATATAAATTTTCAAGTCGAGAGGCGCGGATTAGGATTTTATTTTAGATACATGGTTTCTTCAGAGAATTTTCTTAGAATATTATGTGGTTTACGTTTTAAAAAAAAAATCAACCCACCCTATGATCCGGTGGCACTACCACGTTTTTGAGCACAGCTGTATGTAGAATATGTAATACGTGCCAACAAACGGAAAAATACTGATAAGCTAAAATCTTATCACTGACCAATTGTCTTGAAACATACTCATTTCTTCGGTGCAGCGACTTATTTAAGTGTTTACATACATAGCTAAGTAATAGGGGTATTTAGTATCAAAAACAAAAATAAAATACATTTGTGTGTGGAAAATATAATAAACATGTTTACCAAACCAACACAATTATTATTATTATTATTCTTTCACTAATGTTGTTTTCGTTTATACCAAATAATAGTTGCGTTCCAGATGCTTCACGATTTGCAGGTTTTTACAGGAAGCCGTTCCAGGTGATCACTTTCCATAAGTTTTATTAATGGAGAAAACAGCTTTTCCTGCAAATCCTGTAAAACCATGCAAATCGTGAAGCATCTGGAACGCAACTAATGTTTCCTTTTGATTGCCCTTTTCTCTTTTCGTGTTCGACTCTAAAGCAAGGGCAAACGCTTTGAAAATTTTGTGTTCGTTTCTTTAAATTTCACACTCCTGTAATGCAAAACAAAGTCACATTATCTGCCCTTTGAAGCTTTTATGCCCTGAAACCAGATCGTTGCTTAAAATGACAATATTATGAAACGCGTGAGGTTTGAGTGTAATAACGAACACATTTTGCACAGTCGAAGGGCAATACTTAAAAAAAAAAAAAAAACGATGTCACCATAAAATAACATAAAATTTTCCTTTAGCATACAGTTGTATTAATGAAAATAGGTAAATGGATATTAGATCTGTGTATGTATTCTCTAGTAAAAAATATCCAGGAACTTGCCATAAAATAACTTCATCGAATCGCCCTCAATGAGAGAATGGGTCAAAACAATACAAAAACTTTAACGGTACAAGTATGTAATTGATATTTTTATAAAACTTATATTCAACAATTTATATTTTTATAAAACTCCAATTAAAAAGTTTTATTCCGTCAGTTTGAAATTTACTATTCCAAAAATTGGTCTTTTTTGTATAAAATCTACTTATTATTTACCGCTTTACTGATGGTGCAATAAAGTATCGGCATTTTAAGAAATACTCAAGTTTTTAGTTTGTTAAGGTTTTGGCCTAATTTTTCCTTTTATTTGTGTTGTCTCGATATTGTCACACAATTTTGTCACTTTATCAAGCTTTTTAAGTTTATTTTGGTTTTTATGAATAAGGCCATAAGTAGTTATAAAAATTTAAATAAACTAAAGACGCGATTTTCTTCATTACTTTGGATTAAAATAAATATAGAAATAAATTTTATAATGTATGCAATACTCAGTTGATTTCAAATTCGATTAAGTCCATATATATGTACATACCTATATATTGAATAAACCACTGTCTTTTGTGCAGAACGGAGGAGTTCTTGGGAGTGCTCAACTATTTAAAATTGGCAAAAGCATCATTGAAAGTACTTATTTTTAAATGTTGTAATTTGAATTAACATCAGACAAGATATGCATTTAAATATCTTCAGCTTGCATTTTTTAATAGTGAGCATGGATAAATTAAAACTGATAACATAGTTAAGTCATATGTCTTAAAAACTAAGTGGATTTCTTTATTAATTGCTGAAAATTCTTTATTTGATCAAATGATATTAAGCAAGCGTTTCGCTGTTTGTTTGTAGTTCCTTGTACATATGTATTACCCATTTTGTTTGATTAAGCAGAGAACAAAGCGACAATCATGCATTGTATGTATGTAGAAATTTCAATATGCGTTCACATCAAGAATGATAGAATTCTCTCCACCGTGCGTTCACATGTGTACATGCCCCAACCCATGCCCCAACCCCACTGAAACGTATATACATAGAAACATATGTATATCTGTATGTAGGGGACGTAGATATTTTTTTGTTCCGACTATGTTAAAATTATATAACCTCGGAATTACATTTAATTTCGTTTTTCGCGTTTATTTAAATTAAAATTCATTTGGTTGTTGAAATTATTAATTGTATAATACTTACCACTCTTAAGCCAGTTTTGTAGCAATCTTTTGTTTATGAATTTGCAGGAATTGAGCTATGATGTCCTGTGAGCAGTGGGTGGTCGAACTGAACACGCTGGTTCCTAGTACTCCGCAGCGGCTGCAAAAGTTTTCAGCTCCGGGCGAGCTGAATAATACACACATCGATTGTTTGCTATATCTGCTGACACGTTTACAACTTTTTAGTAAATAGGTTTACAAAATCTTCAATTTTCTATTAGTCAAAATATTTTTCTTTATCAGTTTTTTTTTTTTTTAATCTTGCAGATGTTCCCTCAATACATAGAATAGCTCCACCTTCTGGATCTTTCACTTGTTTATATCACGCCCTGCACACTGATTATAAATTTGCTTTGGTTTGCTTAACTAATCGTTTTTTATAATTTTACGATGTTGCAATATTTTGCTACGTTTGAATACTTTGCACGACTTCTTCATTCACTGAACTAAAATGATTACGGCCGTACAATTTCTTTTTAATAAATTACGAAATTAGTTACTGTTCTGACATTTCTCTTTTCTTGTTTTGTTTGTATTTTCCATGCTCTGTCAGTCGGAGCAAAACAACAAGTAGTGACAGTGACAACAAAATGCATTGTTGCCAACTTGGCATGATTCAATAATCATGTTGAATCATGCCAACTTGGGCTAATACCAAGAATAGTTGCGTTTCCCAACTTTTCTGTGTTAAAACCTGTAACACGTTTGATGTGATTCGATTTTTCTCACGCACAGCCCACGAAGTAGTTGACAATTCACACGGAGTAGTTGTCACTTCACACGAAGTAGTTGAGACTTCACACGAAGTAGTTGGCGCACAGGCCACGAAGTAGTTGACACTTCACACGAAGTAGTTGATACTTCACACGAAGTAGTTGGCGCACAGGCCACGAAGTAGTTCATGCAAGCGTAGAAACCTTACGACATGCAGCGAGCAGGTTACTTACAAAAGCAGCGAACTAAAACAAACGAAAACATGGAGAAAAATCCGATATTAAATAAAAAAAAATTATAAATATTTTAAAAAAGATATAGAGGTAACGTACCTTCAGTAACTTTGCCTCTTACTCTGAGGGGCCATGACAATGAAGATCGAACAAAATGTTATCCCGCCTCTGACTTTCAACTTCCTCCCTCAACACCCAATTTGCGTTTTTAAATAAAAGATTGGTTATACAAATTTCTACCAGTTCTAAACGATGGTTTAAACAGTCGCCAGCTTCCAAGAATCACAGTGTAAAAACATGATCGGTTTTTTCTATGATAGCTGACAACATCCGAGATCTGAGATCCGTTAAATTTACGTATTTTACGAATAGTTGACGGTACCACACCATCTGATGTCGGCACACCACGAAAACCGAGTCTTTAGGATTGACATTTTTCAAACTGCAGTCGTCCCTAAAGATTTTTGCTGCTTTTATCAGGGCAAAATTATGACTTCAAAGCATTTTTGCCTACCAAAAGCTTCATCAAACCAACCAAACTACCAATGGAGAATAAAGCAACCAATTTTGGTCCCATTGTACCAAAACGGCAACGCTGATTATTTCGCTTTTTTGTTAACATTGTTCTCTCTTTTTAGCCACTCCAAAACCAAGATAAACACAGGCGGAGCGAGTGAATAAGAGCGATGAAACGAACAAACCAAAATGGTTGAGTTTGTTGGACGGTTCGAGTCGATTACCAACTAGGACAGAAATTCATCTACCGATACGACTTTTTCAATAAACAAAAGTGGCTTCAAAAACAAGTGTTTAGGGGCTGTTCTTTATTGGTTGAAACTTTTAGAAATAGCTATTCATATTCATTGCTCGTTTGCTAGTTATAGCAACTATATTAATCCTCGAGCAAATCAAGGAAGTGTAAAAGTCGACCAAGAAAAAAGGTAAAAGTTTCGCTTACTTAATCTTTTGCACATCGCTATAGCACAGAAAAAATTGTTTAGAGTAAGTTACATTTAGACCGAAATTTCGTTGTGTAGAAATAAATACGAGTACGTATGTAATTTAATGCTAGACGCTGTAAAAATCCTATGAAATAGCAGGCGCGTATAGCAAATATATATTTATATTTGCGTGTGCAACATCGGACCGCGAGCGTGTTCGGTCGACGTGCTCGAAGGAAGGGTGAAGAACGGCAGGAGCGGACGCAAAGAACTGGGGTAGATTTCCTTAGATTATTTCTTAAACAAGGAATATTTCCTAAGTTATATCAATCACGATGTATGTCCTTAGTTTTAAATATTTGGTTCAAATTTATTAAATAAAAACATTTTTTTTTATACCCAACAGCAACTAACGCTCGGAACGATGTCAGCAGGTCTAGCTGCATTGAATTGCGATCTACGCTCTTACTCCCGACTTTGGCTCGGCGAGTTTATTGAACTTTATCAACAGGAAGAATGTTTATGGCATCCGAAACATCCTGACTATAGCAATCATAGGTATGTATAAAAAATGTTTTGGTTATCTTAATAGCAATCCATAAATTCGGTTGTATTCGACAGTATTCGCAATAAGGCCTATGATCGATTGGTAGAAAAACTAAAAGAAGTTGAACCAAATCCTGATCGAGCAATGGTGGTCCGAAAAATAAACTCGTTACGTTCGGCATTCAGGCGCGAGTTTCGCAAATCAAGTTCCAAGAATAACTACGAAACACGTCTATGGTACTATGACAAGCTGCTTTTCATCGCTGAACAGAATCCAAAACGACTTGCTGCTTTGCGAGACGCTAAGACACCAAAACGTTCCTTGGCAATAAGTTTCGATGTTGATGACTCGATGGAGTTTGAGGAAGAACCAGTTGTGGAAACGATTACTGCATCGCCGGTGGAAAGTCTCAACCATTCACAACCAGCTGAGATGAAAACTGTGACCGTTACATCGGGTGAATGTGTTATTGTGAAGGACGAAGATCAGCTTCAGCACCAGCACCAACACCAACACCATCATCAACATCAGCATGCACACCAACATCCACACGAATTGCAGCAACATCATAGCGCCGAACAGCACTTGCAACATGCCACAGCCACACCGCAACCTCAGCATGCAACAGAAGTAAAGGTCTTAGAAATAACGTCTTTGGATACCAATTCGCAGCGCGAAATTCAGCAGGTTAGATTTAAGGATAAAGTGATTGCAAACTAGATATATTATACATTTACAAATTTCTTGTATTTTAGGCTGTCAGTTCGCTAGAACAGCATCAGCAACAAATGCAACATCAGCTTCAACAACAGCAACACCAACAACAGCCCAGTCAGACTAGTTCAGCCCAAATAACACAAATTCACCAGCAAGTTCCAACCATACAAATAGCGCGGGAACACTTACAGCCATTGTTTGGAAATTCATACACAACAACTGCAACGCATAGACAGGAGGACGAATACGATGCTATTGGTATGAATGTGGCATCAAAATTACGGGTTATGAACCCCACACAGAGAATCATCGCCGAAAAATTGATTAGTGATGTGTTATTCAATGGCCAATTAGACAATCTTAACGTTAACTCTACATTGGCTCAGTGAGAAGAGATTAAATATGAATAGGATCTGCAAGAGAGGTAAAATAAGTATAAGTATGAATTTAGGCACATGCCTGTTTGTATGTACATAAGTATATATGTAGATGAATATACATACAAATATGTGTGTAACTCAAAGGAAATAATTGGGGTTTTCACAACGGTGTCGTAAGTGTCTTATTGTTGTATGTCGTAAACTTTAAACACCCAAAAAAAATATATTAAGTGGCTTCGCAAAGTACCATGAAAGTCATATTATGAATTTTCGCAGTGTTAATAAATAGTTAGTTTTGGTATTAAGTTCTCTAAACATTAACTTACAATTTAAAGTTTACAACATACAACAATATGACACATACGACACCGTTGTGAATCCCCCAAATGTTTAATGTTATAATTTTTCTTAAATGTTTTTGAATAAGGAATTTGATTTAATTAAGTGTAGCTTTCTACATGCTAACATACTTGTATTCAATTTTTTACAATTTATACATATATTAAGTTCTGTACGAAGGTTTGTCTATTACAAAATACTTTAATTACGTTGAGACATGCATACACAATATTATGTGGTACAAAAATATTGGCCACTCGAATAAGTGCACATACTATTATGTTGCATATCATTATAGAAATATGTACTATAATAAACCCAATAAAAACCACGTACTATAGAACGATTTCATTGGGTGATTTAGAATTTAGGTTTTGAAACCTATGTATCAGTTAAATTTTATGTGTAAGTAAGATTATGTATTTAAGTCTCGTATTGGGTGTACACGAAAAATTTTTCAATAAAGTATCTCTAATCTAATTTTACGGATTTTTCACTAGCTTATGCAATCATTAAGATATACACATTATTAAAAGGGGGTAAACACATAATCTATATTCTTCGAAGCGTTATATACAAGTTACTTTCAACACATTTCAACTACCAGCACAACGAAGAAGATGCTTTCATTTTACGGCAGCTGTTGCTGTTGCGGGTTTGCTTGTATTTTCGACACTTTGCTCACTACCGGTTAGACCTTGCACTCGACTCCAGCAGTATTTAGCAAACTACAAGCGCCAAAAGTTAGAAAAATAAATATATACACGCAGGTTCTGCGATTCACTTCCGAGTGAATTGCATCCAAAGCCACAATAAATTCAAATTGAATGGAGTTGAAATTCACTTGGAAGTGAATTGCAGAACCTGCTAGATAATCCTTCTCATTTGTATAATTTACCGTCACAACAGGCAGGTCAATTTCCTCGTCGGCGGCAACTAGCGTGCGATTTTTCTGCATCAAGTTCCAGGCATAATGAATACCAATTATAGATGGAATCATTACAATTGCAACGGAATTGCGTCGCAGAAAGGTCTGGGTCTTCTTCATTGTCGTTACCTAATATTTCTTAATTATTAAAACAAGATTTCTAGCAAAACAAATTTTTTTCGCTAGTAATCAGCTGGCCTGGCCAATGCAAATTCACAAATTCGCTTGCAGCTGGGCCCAGAAAGGAAACCAAAACAAAACAATGACAGTAGCTGTGTTAGCGAGCAACAAGAGTTGCCAGATGGGTCAATAGGAAATCAAGCATTTGTAACTAAGGAAACGGAAATGCACTAGCGGAAAATGTTTGTATTTTACCCGCTATATACGAATACCGGGATTATACAACCGGAACTAACCAGATTTATCTGGCAAAAGCTGAAATTAGTCAAGAACGTAAACCTACCGGTACGTAAACGCGAGTCAGCTGACACGATGTGTCTTACCAGAGGGCCAATGTAAATGAAACCTCAACACCGCAGAATTTTCTCTAGTTGTAGCGCAGAAATCAGCGGGATTTAGATTTTTCCATGTCAGCTGATTTCTTCCATCTATAGATGGTTGCCAGTTTTGCAGATGGTAAAAAAGTTATAATTTCCTATTCAGAATACGTTTAAAATATTTGAAATTTACTATTGAATTAGGTTTTTTTGTTGAAAACCAAGTAGTTTATTATAGCACGAAAAATTTTAGTTGAAAAGGTAAGTTTATGAAAAGGCATTGATGAGTGGCAACACTGTAGTAAGCAACACTGAGGGCTCCAGTAATCAACAAAATTCTGCGTAACGTTTCCTTAAACCGTTTTATGAAAAGAGTTGGTATTGGAAAATTAATAAACTTGTTAGTGATCGATTTGTATTTGCACAAAAAAAAAATACCATCTATTAGTTCCATTTCTTTATTCACTTTGGAAAACGGAGGCGTTTACATTGCTACAATTAAACAACATTAAAATTCAATAAAATTTTGACGAGTTCATTCCAGAAAAGCTGGATTTGGTTGAAAATCACAATTATAAAAACAGTAAAAACATTTAAATTAAAACCGCACTTTTTTATGTTCAGTAAACAAAATTAACAGATGTTGATATATGCGTTCAAATCTGAAATTAAAAAAGATTAGACAAACGAATTACACATTTCACTAGCAAACTAAAATTTCAATATCCACTACATAGTTCTTATTCACCTGTTATCAGTTATGCCACGAAAAAATCCTTTCGCTAATTTGGACATTGCTTCGTGTTTGAAGACATAACTGTGCGCCAAATAGGCAATATTTAATTGTATCATCAACTTGGCGAACGGAACTCTTTTGAGGAATGCAAACAGTCTACCTTCAGGTTGTTTATTATGTTGATTACAATAAAATTGCCAAGCCGCTTGAGTAGCTACCACAAGAGCCAGCACGCTAAATGTTATCTTGCCCAGAAAGAAGTATGAAAGGCCGCCCAAACCAGCTGCTAGCAGATGTTGTGGTGTACCATAAGTTGAGTTTGAATAGCGAGTTAGCACACAGCTGGATAGCTGCAAAACACATGTGTTTGAATTATTCAAACTAATGTATATAACGGGTTTCACACTTACTCTATATATTCCCACATAGGACAGAAAAAATTTAGTCATACTGAAACGTATCATTTTCAGTTCTTCTAAACTTCGTGGTGGTCTTCCCTTGGTAATAGTGCTCAACAAATCTAATGGCACGCCATACAATAAATACTTTCTCATGCCTTCCAGAATGAAATGACAACATGTTTTCCCTTCATGTATGCAAGATCCGGCTTTTTTGAGATCTTCATTGTTCTCTGCTTTCTTTTGTTGCGCTCCAGTAGTGATGGGATTAATAAACCAAAATCCATTAAAGTCCTTGCGCCGTTTTGTATGCAATATTATGGCGCTGGAGAACATAAATATGAGAGTTTGGATTGGTAGCGAGTGGGTGACTATACTGTTTCGATCACGCAACCAGGTTTCGAGTGCCTGCAAACGGGAATTTTTCATTAATACAATTTGTTAATATTCAAGCCCATTTTTAATTAAAAAAAAATGGTTTAACATTTAAAATAACCAACATGCATGAACTGTATTTGGAAATATATAAAATATTTTTTAGTTAGAGCCAGCCTGGTTGTCAACTTAATTGCACTTTTATTTACATTTCATTAAAAAATTCCCATTACTTTTATTACGGTTATAAACTAATAAAGTAATAGTGACTTGAACATGTTAAGCTCCAGTTTAAAAGTATGCCCTTTCGTTCTGTTTTTGATTACAAATAAATCTTACCGCTTGCGTTGTAGCAGTGCTGAAGAGACGCACGGTGCGTACGGGGAAGAACCAGGTCAACTGAAATGCTAAATACGCTGGTAGGCATGTGGCGGTATACAAGTAATATCTCCCAAGCACATTTCTGCATATACATATGTAAATATACATACATTTTATTTTTTTATGTTTAATTTTTAATATTTGAATTTTAAATCTAAATCTAATTCTATGAATGTTAAATCTTTTTTGTAATATAAATACAACAGACTGTAAAAAATAAATAAATTACTATATACGTAATTTGCATGCAAAAGAAATGTAATGTTTGAACGGTTTTGCATATAAACTTTAATACTTGAACAGCTTTTTGGTTTTTATTTTACTTACCGCAGCAAGCAGATAGCAGAAAAGGTTAAAGCGCAACCTGAAGCACTCCATAGTGACGATTCCAAGTAGTGACGAAAAATATTTAAAAGCGTTTGCTTATTCAAACTCTTCGGTCTAAGCACAAGCGGTGACTGTGAATTAAAATATTTAAATATTAGTATTTTAAAGAACAGCAATTCAAAAGCTTCATCATTAAATACCACCGCATTCTCAACTTACAATAGCCAAGGGTAGAAAATACCTCAAGCTCCCCATCGAACAACGATACCAATTCCACCACAACATTTGTTTGCATGTTTGACCTTTATGCAGCAATATTTCCGAGCATGCTAGACGATTGTACGGCGGTTCGAAGAATACACTCATTACGGCCATATTGCTTAATAAAGCTTTGTTATTTATTAGATGACAGGCTTGTAGATAATCACAACAGACATTCGATGCGTACGAAAAGGAACTGATCGAGCTAATGCAAGCGACACACAAGTAAGCTAGCGAAATACCTACATACTTGTTGCAAGTCGAAGGTCAGTCAGCTCCCATGGAATCCATTAGCTTAAAAAGCGCGCATTAAAAATGGCTATTGCACCCTAAAAAATTGCGTTGCGTTTGAATTATGAGAAATATGTATGCGGCTTCGGACAGTATGTATTTATTTACATACATGTACACTCATATGTAAGTACATACATATATGCATGCGAAAATTTGTTTATTTTCTTTTTTTTTCAGTGAGAAACTGGCCTGTGTAAAGAAAATTTCCAAACCCACTACAAATCTACACGTAATAGTTGTGTGTTTGTTCAGAATTTCGAGCTGAGAGACGTTGTTTGTGTATATGTATATGCAAATGTTTTGTTTTTCATTCACACAAACGACGTCAGATGGCAGAAGAACCCTATGTAAGTTTACATATCTACACTTATTTACAATTTTCACTTAAGCCTTTTAGCGGGTGACTGAAGGCATATCGCGGTTGTAATAGAGCCACACATATGTATGTATAGCTTTTGTCATTAAGGGGAAATTCGAAAGAAATTTAAAAAAATCTCGAGCATTTTAGGTTAACAATCTGGGCTATCGTTGAATCCATCGTAGTCCGATTTTCGTGAAATCTTCGAAAATGCGATCCGACTAGCTTACGCTCGAAACAAGAAATTTTAAGCAGTCAACTCCGAATTATGGTTTGCAAAAAATAAAAAATAAAAAAAAAAAATAAAAAACTCAACGCCAATTTTTATAAGTTGCATTTGTTATATAAACAAGCAATTTCTAAGCAAAAAAACCGACTTAAATTCTTATATAAAAATTTAAGATTACCGTTAATTTCTTCATGATCTAATGATCGGATCTAAACTATACTTACTTGGGACTACCCTGAAAACACTACCGATAGAAAAAGAATTATCGAAATCGAATATATTGCATTTTTCTTACACCACGCACTTCGCACCACGACTCGACTGTTATTGTTAAAATTTGCCAAAAAATTATGAAAAATAATGCCTTTTTTTGATAGCAAGGGAAACGATCACATTTCATTCCTCAGCATGATCAATTTGTGACTGCCCAACTTTACGTTTTTATATTCTTAATAAATCACTTTAAGCATAAGGATGAGTCATTTGCGAGTATTTTTTAAGCGCGGAAGCGATTAATCACTTTTTTTATCATCAAAGGTGATCGAAAAAGACTCGGTAGGGCAAATTTTATTAAAGTAATCTACCGAATGCTATGTGGGTTCCTATTACTTTTCAAGTTTGGTTTGAATATACAAAGTAATTGGAAGAAAGGAAGACTATTAAAGTAAATACACGGCAAAAAATTTTTTCAGAGTATTCTGAATTCTAGAGAAATTTTAAAGACTTGTAAAGATCTCATCCGATCACATTCGATTCGAGAATTTTCTTTATTTTTTTGTAAAAAAATATCTGTACGATTTCGTGTCAACCACTTCATATAAATTTCTTTGAAGACTCGTAAAAAAATCGCTACAGAAATATGCAGCAATACAGATTTCGGAAACTTTAGCTTGCAGGCTAAAAGCGAAAGGTAGAGGCGCATATAATTGAACTATAATATATACATATCGCCATCAGTGCCATATAGGTGGTTCCCAAACATGGAATCTGTAAAAGAAAGGAAAATAACGGATAACGTTTTCTTAAAAAAAAAACTGTCCAAAATGGAACCGGTTAAGGAGTAGTTGCAAAGTGATGCACTAGGCGATAATTGCCACCGCCATTGACATCGCCGTAAAAAACTGGACAGTTGAAAGCATTGCTTGGGTATTGAGCTAGAACTAGTACTGTAGGCCTAGTTCTACGCTAGTTCTGAGCTAATCAGATTTTCTGCGGGGTAATTGCGTCTCGGCTACGCTGTTGCTTTTCTTTGTGTGCAACTCAACCCGACTGCCGACCAAAATTAATTTCACGGAACCCTGGTGACTTTCCTACGGAACCCACTTTAGGAAGCTCTGCCATAATTGATGACTTTAAAACCACAAGCTGTTCTAAGTATGCTACTAATTCTCCTTTTTTCAGCATTGAATTGAATC